TATATATATATATATGTATCAGACACTGAGCTTCTCATACAGTGACAGGACATTGGGCATTTTGCAAAAGCTTTGAAAACAAAGTAGGAGATGGCACAGCTGATGCATTTCATCCTGTAAGGTTTATCTTATTTGTGCTAGTATTTGAAGCTGACTTTTATAAGAAGTGGCCCATGTTCCCATGGCTGTTTTGCGAATCAGGGATGCTAATTTCATGAAAAGAAAGGTGCTCGATGAGTCACACGTTATTGTAATTCTGGTGGCAATACATTCTTTTCCAAACACAGGGCAATCTTAAGAGTTAATATGTGAACTTGTACCTATGTATTTCAATTAAAATTGTGGATTGCTGGAAGTCAGTGCTTTGGTATCAGTAACAAGTTTAACTTTTAAGAGAATTCAGACAAATACTGCAAGACTTAAGAAACTTGAAAATCCAGTTGGTTTGAAGACATTGTAGGATTAGCTCTTTACTTCTTGTCTAAACTTTTTTATTTTGTATTTGTGCAGAAAGATTGTTTTTCATTCCATAATTTTAATTAAGGGACAACTGCGAAGAAATTTTCTACTTCTTTTGAATTTGCCATAGGGCAAAAATTGCTCCTGTTATTATGAGAAAGAGATGATTTTAATAAGAATGCTGCCTGCTAATACCCAGCAACTATGAACTATTCATATGATATCGCAACATTTGTTGAATCTTGTTAACTAAGCAATTACAGAATCACTTGGCCCCCAAAGTTTTAAAAAGAATAAAGCTAAAGATCTCATTACATTACATTTATTTTTAAACAGTGTTTTCCGGAACATAAGGATCTGAGTCACAGAACAGCAGCAGGGCAGCTTGTGTGTAGGCCATGATGAAGCTCCGTACTGTGTAAGAAGCATAAGGCAGTGCTATTGATACAAAGTGGTCATATCTAAAACAAAGCAAACCTTGGCTTCAGATACTTATAAGTGGCCCTCATTCTCCTCGCATATCAGAATATGACTGTTTTAGTAAGTGCCTAGTGCTAGCACAAAGGTGCAAGGTGTAGGATTAAATGGCAGCTGTTGCAGCCTTCTATTTAGAACTATAATTAAGTATAAGTTATTATGGTAATAATTGTATCCAGGCTATGGCTGTAGGTTTGCCAGTTGTACCCTTTTTCTTGAGATCCCCCAACTGTACAAACATATGATCCCTATATCCAGTTAGGGACCACAGTGGGTAGAAAAAAAGGAAACCTAATGACACAAAGTTGAAATGCTTCATCCTCTTCTCTGATGTCTCATTGCCCCCTGACCTGTTTTTTTATGTGTTCTTCGACAGACTGGTTATGGGCCATAGCTAGTGGTCCATTCTCCTGTTTCGAGAGTCCTTCACCTTGAAGAAGTTGGTTGTTACTCTTAGACTACACTGGGTGCCATTATTGGAGCTGCCTGTATCAGTATCTGAGTCCTCCATCTCTTTACCTCATAAGCCTGACACTAAACCTAATGGTTTCTATTTTAACTTCAGAGCCCTGTCTGAGAGCTAGAAGCTATCATCCCAAACCAGCTTATATGTTCATCGTTATCAGCTAGCTCCCCCACTGTCTTTGCCACTTCATACCAAAGTCCTGTCATGTTGTTGGCTGAATGTATGAAAGGTAGCTGCTAGCGCTTGATTCTGCAATTGTTCAAACTCAGCAGAGGAGACAGAGTTAGCAGTCCTCATCCTGGAGGAACAGCAACTTAAAACTCAAGTGTCAGATATCTGATCGCAGCTTTTAAGTGGTTTAGAATCTCATTCCCTTCTCGCTTGCCCACTCCCTGGATGTGTTTGTACAAACACACAAGCACCCCATTACCCGCTATGATATTTGCAAGTATGTGTGTACATTCCCAATTTTCCTAGCAACCTCCCATGCCTGTTACCTTGCATGTCGCTATACCAATGCTGACTGCAGTAAAACCAAGCAAGGTGTTCCCACTGGTCTCCCCCCTCCTTCATCCACATACTGTCTGCCTGTCTGTCTCCGACCATTCACGCCATGAACACACTCAGCACAGCAGCCCCTGTGTTTTAGCATCTCGTGGTGAGACCCTTGCTGCACCTGCAGCTGGTCTGAGTGTAACCAGGAGCCTGTCTCAGAAGTGTCCCAATGCGCAAACTGCATCATACACCAGCACTATACTGGGCTGCTCTAATGCCAAACACTCCATAGGAATGATCCAGAAACTGAAAACTGCATAAACAAATAGTGATTTTTTACTGGAAGATGTGATGCAGCACCTCAGTAGGCCATGCCCTAGGCTGTACCTGCTCATCTGCATCACACACTGAGCAATGCCGCAGGCACTGAGCTAGCTGCAGATCTATCTTGGTGTTTACCGACTTGTTTCAAGTATGTTCAAGTTGGGGTCTTGGATTTTCTTGCTTTTTCTTCCCTTTCTCACATCTTTGAACAGTCCTAAAATTGAGTGATGCTGCTGGTGGTAAAATTGTTCCATGTTCAAATACGCACAGAGTTTTCTGAATTTTAAAGTGTCTTGTTTTCCTGTTTTCACTTACTGTCTCTGAAATCCTAAGAAAACATCTGTTTCACTGTGTCTGTGTCCTCTCTTGCTGCCAGTAACCGTTACTACTCATCAGAATGTTGTCAACTTGTATTATTTTGATCATGATTCTCAGTATGTAAAGGGGGAATGGGAGTTGGAAGGTTTTTGTTTGCTTGACAAGTTGACTCTTTGGGTTTGATGATGCAATCTCTGACTCTTTTGTCAGTGTTTTCATTGCTTTTCCTGGTTTTTTTTTAACTTCTCTGGAAGACAGGCCCATACTTAAATTAGAACATCATTATTCTCCCATCTTAGGAGTTGTTCCACAGCTTGCTAACTGACTTCAGGAGTTACAGCTGCAGACCACATTTCAACCTTTGCCGAGCTGGTCACTAATCTGGCAAAATACTGTTTGCTGTTTGGTCAGTTTAGTTTTTTGTTGAGTTAGCAAACTGAATTTGGCTTTAATTGAATTTAGCAGGACTCCAGCAAGTAGAAGAGCTGGCAAAGGAGGAGGTGCAGGACAGTACGGCCAAGAGCAGGGAGGGGATTAGGAAGTAAGGGCAGCCTTTGGTGACGGCAAGCCTTTAATTTAGCTCAGCTGTGTTAAGGCATGCTCTGAGTGCAGCCAAAAAATACTTTGAATGTCATTCATGAAATTGTGCCATAAAAGCTTTAATTCTTGTTAGTCGCTTGTTGTGGCTACCCACAAAATACTGAAGTTAATCAAGATCAGGTATAGGATTCTTTCTAATTACAGAGTTGGTCTACAAATGCAGCCATCTTTCTGCATGGATGTTTTTTTCTGTTTCAGAAGGAAGATGCCATTAATGCGGAAACGGATGAAAGACTGTCTCTTCGGAAGCATCGCTTCATGCGTTTTGCATCATTGGAATATGAAGGAGAGTATTACATGACACCAAGAGATTTCTTGTTGTCAGTAATGTTTGACCAAGTTGAACGTAAGTTGTTTTCTCATCATTGTGTTTGTGAAGAAAATTTGCAGGTCCCCTTCAAGATGTAGTTTGCCAATCACTGGGATAAGATCCTTTATTTGACATAAATCAATAGAAGCCAGTTTATAAATGTTGTGCGTATGGATTCTTACAGGCATCACCACCCTTTACACCAGTGAATTGAGACTGATGATTTAGAAATCTGGTGACTTGATGAATGAAATTACAGCTCTGCATAATTTGCATGTCTGATCAGTATGTAGTTCCTCAATTACTTACATGCCACAGAATATAGTAGGAGTGTAATATAATAGTGTTCATACCATTCCTGGCCCCATTATCTGTCTATCCACTTCACCAGTGAATACTCTGTGACCTTATTTCTTAGAAGAGGCAGTGATGGCAGTGACATGAATGAGTGTAATGAAGCATTGAGCTCAGCTCTAGGTTTCTGGTTTCAATTCTCCTCTGATTTATACAGAACCTAGTTATGAACAAATCAAAATTGTAGGCATGTTCTTAAAAAAGTACTTTTAAAAGCGTGCTTTCTGAGGAGAAGACAAGACCAGCACACACAAATACAAAGTGCCATAGGTTGTTGTCCCACTTTCCTCCAAAAATTTGGCTTTTACAGGTTTCCAAAGAATTTTTTGCTTTAGAAAAGTTAAATTCTCTGAGTTTCTAAGAGGGTTTTCATTCAGGGGACAAATACTCTCTTAGTATCTCTGCTGCAGGAAAGGGGGAAATCCCAACTTTAATCATTGCATGCTGCAGTCTGCACATACTGACCAGGGGAGCACATTGTCTAGCAAAAGCCAGTCATAGCCTGGGATGCTCTGCCCAGCTAGCAGCGAATGCCCAAGTGACATGGGGGTGCTGAACAGGAAATACAGAAGGGAATTCAAGGTACTGTGGAAAGTCTAATGAGACAGGGAGGAGGAAGGAGACAGAATGCACTTTGATGCAAGCCTCTGGGAAACCTGGGGCAGAATAGAGTTCACTGAGCTGCAAGTGGTCAAAGAGCAGGACACAAGAAAATAAAAGTTTTTTGTGTCTGCCAAAAATCTGTAGGTGATAAGGATATGTGGCTTCACTGCTGACATACAACTTCTAACATTATACAAAGCTGAATGTAAATCCCTAGGAGGACTTTGCGACCTTGAGAGTCATGGAGACTCTCAAAATAACTTTTTTTTTTAATATATGGCTAACAAAAAGAGTTCTTTCTCCTTCAAAACTTAGGTCATTAACTTAAAAACCTAGAAGGGATTTTCTTTTAGGTTTTCCAGTCTGAAACAGTGAAAGACAATGAATACTGAAATTCTCAGTTTTGAAGGTGTGGGTTTCAGGCAGTTGTCTGTGAAAGCAAGGTTAGAGAAATAAGTGTTTTTCAATCTTAGCAGTTCATACATATTAATTGGTTACTCCAACTATAATAGTACACATGCAGATTTTTAATGAAGTGGTATGCGGGTAAGGTTTACTTATAATGGAGCCAAGTTAATTTCAGTTACTTTGCTAACATGAGTAGGAAAGAGCATTAAATAGAAAAGAAAAAATAATGACAAGAAAAAACACATGAACAAAAAGAATCTTTGCACTAAAGCATATTTAGCATTCCAAATTGAGGTCAGGCTTATAACAATAGTACCACAGACAATTCATAGAAAAATATTAATGCTTTAATCCCATGCTCCTAAACATTTGCTTAACCATCCTTGGTGCTGATTCTTCAGCCAGTAGCATAAACCCAACAGTAAACAATTCTCTTCAAGTCACATTTCTAGGGATTTTAGGTTTTCTTGTAACTGCAGACGTAGCATTTGTTAGCACAGAAATATGATGGTTTAGGTGTTTTAAAAGCAGTGGTTTGAACATTTTGTTTAGAAGAGTTTCATACAAGGAAAATGAACAGACTTATCTCAAGTGTCTGTCTGGGTATATTTAAAGTAGATCAAGGTGGTGAATTTCATAGCAAAGCGCCTATTTAGGGAAACTTTCTGCTTGTATTGTAAAATTAATTCCCTTTCACCCTGAACAGTGGTTTTGGAAAGGTAAACAGGCATGCTGTCACTAATACTAGAAAGCCCTTTGCTTACTGGCATACTGAGATGCAATTTTAACATGTGATGCTGCATACAGATGGTGAGTCTTGTAATGCTAAAGTTAAATCTGCAATGATTTGGTTATTTGCTACCTATTTATAATTAATCACTAACTTAAAAAAAAAAAAAAAAAACAACAACTAAACAACAAAAGTCTTGGAAAAAATTGAAGGACCCTGGCAGTAACCATTCATCTCCATAACTATTTGCTTGGAGTTTGCTGGTGGTTGCTGTATATGACAATACGAAATGCTTAGGACTGTTCTGAAGTTTTGTTTCTGCTGTCTTTTTTATGGATAATAGGCAGGGACATATGACCAGCCTCAGGAGCAATTTAGCTGTGTACACCAGGAAGTATTGCTGAGGTTGATCACAACATTCTGCTCCTTTGTTCTTGTTCAGAGATAAACACTCCCAAAAGGGAAAAAGGCAAGTGAAAAGAGGAGACAAGAAGAAGTTACAGGGTGGAAATAGGGGCCTTTTCCAGCCTCCTTGGGGTTTTTTTGCTCACTGGTGATTGTCACTGGAGAATTACTTTGAAATCTCCTGTTAGTTCTTAAGCATAATTAAATTTAGAGGAAAGTAAATGTGGTGTTGTGTAAACCAGATGAGTTGTTGTTGCTAGATCAAAAATGCTGATGTTAGAAAATACCAAAATATTTTAGCTATGTCCAGATTGTCGAGTGAATTCCTGTACACACTTGGGTGGAATTTATTACAGAAGCAAAAATCTTAGGCATGCCCTTTGACAAGGTTGCAAAACATGTAATAAATTATGTTTTATTATAGAACACTTTCCAGATAAGAAAACAGATGAACTGTAGTGCAAATACATCAACTGTCATCCAACCCAAGTGATCTTAAACCCTTCTTGGTAGACCTTAGTTCACTAGTTCTGCTCATTTATTTCCTGGTGCATGGGTTTCTCTATTACTCCTTTCGTTTAAGGTAGGCCAAAAATTGTGAAATCTTGGCATTCC